GATTCATAGCGACCCTCATTGGGTTTCCGAAGTAGTAAATCTTTACAGAAGTAGATTGCCCCATCTTCCTTCCATGGAGTGGCTGATGAGTTTGAACCGCCAGCCTTCTGGTTAGCAGTCAAATGTCTTAGGCACTATGCCACCAGAGCTCCTTATCCCCACCCAGGTCATCTATAAAAAGTTCCATGTGCCCTGCCCACTGCCCCTCAACTTCGCCAACATCACGGGCAACTTCAGCCATGGGGAGGTCATTGAAGAGGAGGTCCAGCTGCAGGTTAATGAGGCTGCAGCCTTCTGCAGCCCAAACTACTTCACACTCAACTCACAGGTACGGACGGACAGGGTAGGGGCAGGGAACTCAGTGAGGGCGTGGAGGTGCCACCCTAACACAGTCCCTGTGTCTCCCCAGACGGCATACACCATCCCCATCATGGCCTTCGCCTTCGTTTGCCACCCTGAGGTGCTGCCTATTTATACGGAGCTTAAGGAGTAGGTGTCCACGGCTGGGGTACAGGGTGGAGGCAGCCTTGAGCTGTCTTGGAGAGACTGGATGTGGTCCCTAGGGTGGTGGGTAGTGACAGGAACCAAGTCATTTTATCAAAGATCTTGCTGGCTGCCATGAGGTGGAGTTGGGAGCAAGAAGGAGGCTCCCACAGGTGCGGGATGGTGAGTGTGTGGTGCCAGAGAGACCCCAGGGCACATAGGGGTCTCCCAATGTGGCCCTGCTGGCACCAGCCCTTTCCCCCCATGCCCACTGCCCCATAGCCCCACCAAGAGGAAGATGCAACACATCTCCAACCTGTCCATCGCCGTCATGTACGTCATGTACTTCCTGGCTGCCCTCTTCGGCTACCTCACCTTCTACGGTATGGCTGGACCGGTGGGGGCAGAGGCCAGGCTGGGGGGCAAGGGGCTGGCCAGCGTCCATGGCACCCCACATACTATAGGTGCTCATTAGGTGTGTGATACCTGACTGTGCCCTGCTAGCTGTGGAGGTGAGTCTGAGTGCCACTCCCCACAGTGTCAGGGTTGGCCTGGCAGCACAGGGCCTAATCCCTTTCATGGGCTGCCTACTGACCACCCTCTCTGCCTGCCACAGATGGCGTGGAGTCAGAGCTGCTGCACACCTACAGCAAGGTGGGCCCGTTTGACGTGCTGATCCTGTGTGTGCGCGTGGCCGTGCTGACGGCAGTCACACTCACAGTGCCAATTGTTCTGTTCCCGGTGAGCCAGTGGGCAGGTGGCCAGCCAATGGAAAGTGGGGCTGATGGGACTGACAGGCTGATGGCTCCCCACCTCCCACCCCCCAGGTGCGGCGAGCCATCCAGCAGATGCTGTTTCAGAACCAGGAATTCAGTTGGCCGCGGCACGTATTCATCGCCACCAGCTTGCTCACTTGTATCAACCTACTGGTCATCTTTGCCCCCAATATCCTGGGCATCTTTGGGGTCATTGGTGAGGATATGGCCCTGCTATGTGTAGAGGGAAAGTATTTCCCCAGAGAATTTCTCTTCTGCAAATCTTAACAGATTCCTGAGCTCACATCCTAGGTTTAACAAGTTGGCCTCCCTTCTGAGCTTTCATCCTTAGGATTGTTCTAATCCCCTTAAGAACTCAGAACCACTGAGTCAGAGCCTAGAGCAGCCCCCTCTGGGAGACAGGGGTAGTCCAAGGGTCAGGGGCTTCCAAACAGGATCTCATTGGGTCTTGTTCCCATTTTACTTATGGGGAGACTGAATCTCAGGGTTAAGGGAGCAGAATGGCTACACTGCTGGTGAGTTGGGGAGCCTAGGACCATTGGACTCCATGTTTGGTGCTTTGTTCACTGCCCCATCCTAGTTGGGACTCTGAGCTGGAAAATCAGAAAATTCTGATCTTTGGAGTGCCCTCAACTCAGGAAATAGACTCCCTAACATAACTTCAGGGACTGACATGCAGATTTGGGGTCTAAGTATCCTGGAGATCATCGTTAGAACTCATGTCCCAAAATCCAACTCAAAATGAATTAAGCCGAAAAGAATCTATTGGTTCTAATAATGAAAAAGCATTCAGGAAGAGCTGTATCCAGGAACCCAGACAATATCCTCAAGGCTCTGCCTCTTTCCATCTCTTGGCTTGCCTTTCCTCTTTGTTAGTTTCATTCACTGACAGCTCTTTCTGACATCAACAGTCTCCCCTCCTGGTGGACAGAGAACAAGGGGAGGGGATGGTGGGCTCCTCAGAATCAAGCAGAGCTATGCGCCATTCCCCCATGCTCCAAGCTAGGGACCTTGATGAGACTCCTCCAATAAAAGATGTTTGATCTCATTGAACAGTTCACCCCTAAACCTTCACTGAGAGGTGGAACTCAGCCAGCAGTGGCCATGCCTTATTCTTTGCAGGTGCCACGTCTGCCCCGTGCCTCATATTCATCTTCCCTGCCATCTTCTACTTCCGCATCGTGCCCACTGAGAAGGAGCCTGCGAGGTCCACCCCTAAAATCCTGGTGCGAGGGACCTGGCGGTTGGGCGGCTGGTGTGGGGCTTAGGGAACTGCTTTGCCCTCAGACCTGATGTTGACCTCTGATTCCTCAGGCCCTTTGCTTCGCCCTGCTTGGTCTCTTGCTGATGACCATGAGCTTGAGCTTCATCATCATTGACTGGGTCTCTGGGAACAGCCGGCATGGAGGAAGTCACTAGAGTGCCCTATCCTGCCCTGCTTACTTGTCCTAGCACACCTGCTCAGAGTCCAGCCCCTGCTCCCATCCAGTGGCCAGTCAAGAAGCAGAAGGATGAGGTTAACACAATGGTGTTTGACCCTGCCCCACGTCTTCTCTGTAGAAGTTCTTGTGTTAAGGAGCCAGGACCAAGGCCTATGGGCTACCACCATGCTGGGCTCCAGAGCCTCAGGGGCTTCCTTAACTGGGGGTGGGGGTGGGGCTGTACTCCTTGCCCCCCTTTTGTCACCTCAGATGCCGCCAAGCTCTTCATCCTCCCTTGCACAGATGCATATGCTAAGGGCCAGCAGCTGCTTCCTGAGGTCAAACAGCCTGTAAGGAAGGGCACACAGGCTGGAACCTAGGCCTACTGCCTCCCTTCACCCTGCTGCTGGGGCCAGAGGCTGTGCCCTGAGGTCTCATCTCCCCCGGCCCCCTTGCCTTCCTTCCTTCTGTTCCCCAGGTCCCTTCCAGACCCTTGGGCTCAGGCCCTTAAACACCGAAGTCCCCTTCTCCATTCCCCCACTAGGAGGAGACCCTCCATCCCCTAGCTGGAGCCAGCAGGTTCTGCTATGGGTGAAGCTAGTGTGGGCTCTGTCAAGGGACACCTACCCTGCCCTTCACCAGTCCCGGGGAGGCTGGGACTCCCCCCAACTCCCACCCCCCACCCCCTATTCCCAGCCTGGGCCCTGGGCCACAGCTCACATTCCACTGCTGGGAGAAGGGAGAGGCTGGAGGCCAGAGTGTCCTGAGTTCTGGGAAGCCAAAGATCCTAGTGGCCAGCCTGGGGCTGGGGTGGGGAGGCTGGCAGCCTCCTTTTATAAATATTATACATAAGACCAGCTGTGTTTTATATTTGTGACTTCTGGGTCCCTGAAAGGTAAGGGTGGAGGCCAGGGAATGATGGAGGACCCCTGCCCCCTTCCCTGGGATAGAGGGTGGGGACAGCCCATCCTACCCTATCCCCTGCCTCCCAAACCAACTGTCAGCTCTCAGACGCAGCTCTGGGCCCGGGCCAGGCTCAGCACAGACCTGCTTTCTCACGGGGTGAGGTGGGGAGGAATTAATGAGGCCCCAGGAAGTGGGACAGAGAGAGGCCTCCGGAAGGAGGCAACGTGAGGTGCATCCCCAGCAGCTTCAGGGAGGGTCTGAACTGGGGGCGGCAGAGCTGCAGAAGCCCCAGGAAGGCCCCTCTTGTCTCCCCTCCCTTGGCTCCCAAGTCAACCTTCTGTCAAATCCCCAAGTCTGGGGACAAAAAATCCAGGGATCCTGTGCCCTGTTGGGCTGATGTTTTTATTATTAGTAAAATCCACTGTGAATAAAGGTGGGTTAATGAGTCCCTGTGTATGAGGAAGGTCAGGAGGGAAAGGGCTCCAGGCAGGCTGGGGGCTTCAGGGAGGCAAGGCAGGCCCAGGTGCCTGGGGCCTAGTGGGACTGGGAAGTTGCCTACTGCCTCCAGCAGGCCTGAACCAGCTGGGACCCAGTGGGATAGAGCTGCCTGGCTCCTGGCACCAAACTCTCATTAGGAGAGACCCTGTACCCGGCTAGGCCGCCAGCAAAAGGACAGCAGGAAAAATCCAGTTTGAACTTGCAAGGCGTTGCCAGCTCTGGAAACCCCTGAAGAAAGAACTTCCTCAAGCCGGTGGTTGTTAGGCCCATGGCAGTGCCAGCTGGGCAGAGGGGGGCGCTTCCTGAGTCCTGCTCCCATCAGCCCCAGGCACCTGACTCCAGCCTGAGGATTCACAGAGGAGCCATGTGGCTCCAGGAAAGAGCCTGGATGTTGAATTAGAGGTGACTGTAGCCCAGGGTGCCCTGGCATGAGGGGTTGCCCTCTGGGGTTCTCTGGCTTTTCCTTCATAAGGTGGGGCTACAGCTCTTTCTGAATCCCTTGGGGGTGGGGTACAGTAAAGGGCAGGGTTGATCCCATTAGCAGACCCTGGGGTCTTCTTTAGCACTCCTTCCATCTAAACAAGGCTGCCAGTCAGAGAAGCAGCAGGACTGCCTGAAGCCTGTTAAAACGTCAGGCCTGCCTCAGGCCTCTTGGACCAGAACATGTGCTGGCAATGCCCCTCTCCCCCCAACACATAGTATAGAGAAGGCCCTCTCCCTGAGAGGCCCCCTCTGCCTGCCCATCCAGGCGTCCACCAGTTGATGGGAGGCAGGCTCCAGAGGTGGGAAAACTGGGGCAGGTGAAGTAGCCAGTACACTCAATCCAAAAGCCAAGTGCCCACATGACCATTTGATTGAAAATTAGTGTCCCTCATCCCTGACTCTCAGGCTCCAGCCTCCATGAGGAGGGGTCTGTAGACCCTTGGACATCATTAAGCAATTAAAAATTGTTGTTGAGAATATACACCACAAAACATATCAATGCAAGAAGCTTGTACATATCTAATTCACTAACATTGATTATGTTCTCCGAGTTGTGCAACCATTCTCACCCCCCTTTTCTGAGTTGTTCCTCCCCCATTAATGTGAACACACTGTCCACTAAGGTTCCTGTCTAACCTTTCGAGGTGCTGTTGTCAGTTTGTTCCCATATAGATAGTTCTGAAAAGAGCATAATGTTCAAAGCAAGCTTTTTTACTAGTTAAGCTAAACTATTGTTTGGTTTTAAGAAGACTTCAGGGATTATTGTTGGTTTAAAGTTATTAAGTATTTTTATACGTTTTAAAGAATGTCCTGGGTTTTTTTCTTCTGCTTTTTAATTTTTGTTCTGTTTGGAATATTGACAAGTTAGAGCAACTGGAAAGTCCACCTCAAGTCTTCTTTATTTCCTTTCACTGTTTTCTTATGAATGCTTGTTGTAGAAAACTAGGTAACATGGACCACGACACAGGGGGCAAAAGCATGGGCCTTGGTCTCCCTGTCCAGCAGCCTGCATCCTCCTCACCCGTGTGTATATATGTACACGTTCGCCTATCAACTAAAAAAGGGATTCATTCATTCATTCAACAAGTATTTATTGAGATTTCCTATGTACCAGGCAGTCTCCTAGCAGCTGTAAATAGAGTGGTGAGCAAAGCAAAGACACTCACCCTGCTTGAATTTGCATTCTAGGTGGGTGATTCAGACCAGAAACATGAAACCCAGTCCCTAAATTACATCATTTGTTAGGAGATGCTTAGTGCTAGGGGAAGTAAGAAGAGTAGGGTAAAGGGATAGGGAACAGGAGGACTGGGGGAGGGGAGAGGTCAATGTAGGCCTTGCTGAGAAAGGGATGTTCCTTCAGAGATTTGGAGAGGCAGCATGTGGATTGTTTGCAGGGACGCTTCCAGCCAGAGGGATCTGCCAAAGCAAAGCCCTGAGGCAGGACACTCCTGGCTTGTGAGAGGAGCAGCCAGGACACCAGGGGAGGCAGGAGAAGGTAGAAGGGGAGGTGGGAGCTAGTAAGGGGTCTTGTCAACTACCATAAGCACTTTTTTTTTTTTTTTTTAAATACGTGTTATTGAAATATTATTTACCATAAGCACTTTGGATTTTTCTCTACGGGAGATGAGAGAGCCAATGCCAGGTCCTGAACAGAGGAGGGGGCAGGATCTGATCTGACAGTGACTTGGAGTTTAAAATGGATTATTCTGGCTGCTGCATTGAGACTAGACTCTGAGGTGAGGAAGATGGGGAACCAAGGATGACCCAAGAGGCTACTGCAGTAGTTCAGACTGTTGGGTAGCTCCACCCAGGTGGTGGCAGCAGTAGCAGCATGGGTTGGGATGAGACACTAGGGGTTGTTCAGAAGGTGGGGCAGCAGGGTTTCCTGATGGTTTGGGCATGGGGAAGGGGCAGGGAGGAGAAAGGTGGAGCCACAAGAGGGATAGAGCTTGTTCTAGTTACCTAGTGCCGCTGTGACGAGAATATACCACAAATGGGATGGCCTTAACAAACAGGAGTTTATTCTATCACAGTTTGGAGGCTTTAAGTCCAAGTTCAAAGTGCCAGGCTCTAGGGGCTTTGTGAAAGCCCCTTGACCTTGGGCTTCAGCTCTGCCTCTTGTTCCTGGCCCACTCAAGCTAGAGGCTTTTCTTCACTCAGGCAGCTACCGGCTGCTGAGGTTAACAAGCCCAAGGTTGACAAATAAAATGGCACTGTTCTGATGTTACCAAATCACACAGCAGGCCATTAATTCAAGTCCACTGTAAGTCCCAAGGTCAGCAGAGCATGGCAGGCTGCTGAATAATTAATGACATGGCTACATGCAGGGTCCAAGAAGTGCCATAAGCTAGAAACTATTCCCAAAGCTGTTTCTTTTATACGGAAATCAGACCACATCCCCAAAGGCAGCTACTCAGCTGCTCACAGTAGATTCCACCATGGAGTTGATTACCAATCTCATCATGGGGCATGCTACATCCAGCTGCCCAGCCACTCAACCAGGCCCAGCCAAGTTGAAACACACAAACTTAATCACCACAAGCTGTCATTGCATTCACTGAGGGAAGCTGAGGGAAAAGCAGGCTTATATCAGTTTGGCACAAGAACAGTTTGAGATGCTGACTGGACATCTAGTGGAAAGGCCAACTTGGCCACTGACTCTGTGACTCTGGAGTGTAGCAGAGAGGCCAGCACTGGAGCCTTGAGGAGGCAAAGCGAGTGGATGGTATTTAAAGCCCAGGGCCTGGGGAGATGAGTTTAGACAGACGAGGGCAGTGGTCAGGACTGACTCCCAGAACACTATTAGGAGATGGGAGAGATGAGACAGAATCAGCAAAGGAACCAGCAGGCAACAGCAGCAAGGATGTGAGAGGAAACCAGGAGAGTGTGAGCATCTGGGAGCCAAACAAGCAGACACTGCTGAGGAGGTGAGGGTGGAGGACAGGCTACTGACTTTGGCAGTATGTTGGTCCCTGAGGACCCTGACCCGGGCAATTTGATAGAGGAAGGGTGTCTTAGTGACACCCTTTGGTATAACAAAAATAACACAAGTGGATGGCTTTAAAAACAAATTTATTGTCAAACATTTTTGGAGGCTAGGAGTCTGATTCA